GGATATTTTGATTGAAACAATCTATTTGTCTATTAAATGAATCCCATTCTTGTTTGGGAGTCCATACGAGTCCACCGTCCGATTCGACGAGTCGCCAAACGGGACACCTGTGCACTGACCTACCCGTCCACCCAACCGCTGTAGACCGAGGTCTACACCTTAACCCCCACTATAATACTCTACACCTTAACCCCCACTATAATACTCTACACCTTAACCCCCACTATAATACCCCGGACTCTGTGGTCAGTGAATGTATGAATAGATTCTGTGTTTGAGTGCAAAGAATGCGGACATGAGTTGAGTTGAGTTCACAATTCCTATTCAATTGTTGTGTCACTCGAGTGGACGTTATTTGTGACGTTCACTCACTTCACGCCTCAAAATGCACACAAAACTCAAACTTTCATTGAATTGTGTTTTTGTAGCGAAGAGTTGGTGAGGAAGTGGTCATCAATTGGTACCATTGGGTGATCATTGGGTGCAGCGATGGAAGTGTGTCGCGAAGTGATGGACGGCTTACTGCTGCTGAAGAGGTCGACACTCAGCGACCAACACATGCGGACAATACTCAGTGAATGCCGACAACTGGTGCTCAACGAAGACATGAGTGACGAGACACGGGAGCAGACCATCGATGACAGGGTCTTACGGCTGGCCATCTGTTCGCTGGTCATAGAGTTAGCGAAACACAACTCCGGCGCCGAAGCCATGGAAGCGGTGCTCGAAGAGTGCGGACTCCGATCGGCCGACAAGAAGTGGGTTAACAGTAATTGTCTTCTTTTGGTGGACTTCTACCGCAATATCAGACCACAAGTGAGGGATGTGTTGACGAGCACCGAGTCGTTTGCCACGGATTTGCCGCATGTGGTGGACATCGATTGGGATCAGATGCTGGTCTTGGAGTCGACCGACCGCCAGAAAGTCAATGAAATTGAGTACTTGATTAATATTAGTTGCGAACCAAGTGTCGGGTCTTCAGGTGCCCGCAGAACCATCACTACCACTACCTCCTCGACTGATGATAACTCGAGTGCCGATCTCGTGTTTAGCGCTTCTCTGCCTCAGTTGCAGGACTTGTGCCATAAGTTGAGGGAATGTCGAAGAGTTGTCGAGAAGATTATCAAATGATACCATCGATTGGTTTAGGTTTTGTCTCCGAAAACAGTGATTATTTAGACATTAGTTTGTGTTTCATTTAAATTGATGTCTAGTTTTGTATTCATTAGCAATAATTTTCTGCCAAATGTGTGCATAAATTGAGCCACAATTGAGTCTCAATTGAGTTGTCGATTGGTTCCCGAGAAATATCTGTTTATTTTAAACCACAAGACATTTAATCGATTAATATATCGCAGAAATATTTATACAATAATTTATTTTTATAAACATTTAAATCCCATTTCAATCAACTCTTTCCCTTTGTTTATATAAGTTTTGTGCAAAATTTGTTATATTTATGGTAAAAATGATTTAATGATGTCTTTTAACAATAATTTAAACAATTTGTTAATTTATATCTAATTTGTAATAATGTATACATTTTTAAGTTAAGCATCAAATGATTAAATAATAAAAATTAATAGTTTACACTAATTATCACTTATTTTGTAGAATTCTTGCTATATTATGAAAATAGAAAATACATTTCACTTCACATTTAAGATGCGGTTAATTAAGAGTTAATTGCAGTTAAAAAAATAACATAAAAAAACAACAGAAAAGATTATATTTTAGATATACTTTTAAATACTTTTAATGAATGAAAACAAAACAGTGTATCCAATAATCACAAGACTTCTGTCTGTACAGTGAAAGTGATGTTGTGTTACATATCATAAAATATTTGTGTTTACAGAATATCGCTTATTTGGCTTAAAATATACACAAAATTTATTTTAAAACCTATTTTGCGAGCGGAGGAGTGGATGAGCACCGATATATTGAGAGCACATTCTCTAGTTTATTGAATATTATGGTTATATTTTGTGTGAAAAAATAGTTTTACTCACAAAAACTTACATAATAGTTACGTAAAAACTTTTAGTCGACTCTTTAAAGTAAACCTAAATATCATTTCATAAAGTGTATGATATGTGTGTAGAGAATCATCTTATATAAGTTATATATAACTTAATACAGTATAAGCGTTGAATTCATGATCATATATTGATTTTTGGAAATATATTTTTAATTTTTCGACTCAAAACTATGAGATCGTAAGTGTTTTTTCGTTTGTGTGTGTCTTCAATGCAAAAGTTTTTTATGCCAAAGAAAATCAATAAAATTTCATGAGAAAGTAGCTCTCATTTATGCTATACAGTATAGTATACAGTATACAGTACCAGTAAACCATTATTAGTTAAAACTTAAGTTTGTGTTCATTTTGGTTACGATTACACACAGAATATTGGTTTTGCATTCACTCCCTGTTTTGCGACCCATTTTTAGATGAGAATTATTACATTTTATTCAAACATCTATTCACTAATAACCAAATTCTGTGTTCAATACTTAGTGTCATTGTATATAAAGTTCACGGAATATATATTTGTTAATTAAATTGTTGTTTTACTTTTTGTTAGTGTTTAGTGTTTTCAATCTTCACCTCATTGTGCGAAATGAGTGAAGAAGTGTTGACTGAGAACATCACCATAAGTGTGTCCAATGGGACGGCCAATAACACGCTGGCCTGGGCTAACGAATGGTTAGGCTATCTGGCACTCGGCATGTTCTCAATGGTTCTGTTTATACCGACGTTAGGTATTATAGGACTTATGGTTTGGGAGTACTTTTCAGATGAGGCCGAAAGGAAGGCTGAGCGCCAGAAGGAGATCGAGCAAGTGGTCAGTATTTGGTGCCATATATGGCATAAATATCCTAAACTCATATTTTGAAAATTAATTACAGTTATACACATAATATGTATAATTACTACACGATATGTAGTATAGTAATATGTAGTAATTGTAGTAATATGTATAACTGTATAACAGTTATACAGTTATACTTAATTATTAATAAGTTATAAACGGAATAATTTTGTTGATAATGTTATTTGTTCACAAGTAATATTCACTAAATTCACAAATCTATATAGTAACCATAATTTTGTAAATAGTTTATTTTTAATTTTTTAATTTTCTAAACTAATTGATTGCTTAAGAGTCAGCATATATTTGAAAGACTTTTACATTTATGTGAATTAAAGTAATGACTTATTTTGTGCCATAAATCAGATGCGCGAAAGATATTTTGGTATCAAACGAGACAAGGATGAAGATAACGACGACATGGATGAGGGAGAAGATGAAGAGGACGACGAGGAAGAGGAGGAAGAAGAGGACACACCGGCAGAGACGGAGACACTCATCCATAAGAGAAGACCCAAAATGACTAAAGCAGAGGATTTTGATTGTCTTTAGTCTATAAAAGCTATTTATATGTTTATCTCATATTATTATCATAATTATAATTAATTGGAATTCTATTCCACTAATTGTTTTGCTAATTATTAACTAATTAATTGTTTTTTCTATAAAGAAATACACATTTTGTAAACTTTTTGAAGCATACTTTGTATTCTTATGGCAATAATTGTAAGAATAAGACAAACAAAGTATCGATTATTCTCTCACTTCTGTGTGTTTATGGTGTAAATCAAACACAAATTCTAGTGTAATATCATTTTCACAATAACTATAATAAAACCATTTTATTTTATTGATAATACCAGTAGTTACTTAATATTATTTAATTTCCATTTAATTATAGTGTAAGTTTTCACATAAACATTAGATATACGTTATAAAGAATTATTCTTATCATTTCTATTTCAGCAACATTATAACTTCATAAAATTTAAATTATGTTTTTAAAATTACACACTACAGTATTAGGTTAAAGTAATTGGCTTTTATTCAATCAAATAATAAATGATTAATAAATAATTTGTGTGATAATAGAGAGCTTTTTCATGACAACTATCAAAACATCCGATAAGTTCATTAGATTTCAACCAATTATGACATTTTTACTGCAATAATTGGCTATTTGGTGGTAAAACATGGTAATCATATGAGTGCCTGTCATAATAAACCATATATTTATTTGATTATTTTAATTATTATACAGTAGTATTTTATAGTATTTAATTTATTAACTTGTCTACACTTAGCATAGTTTATTATGACTTTAAGAGACAAAAATGAAAGTTTGGAAGTGTTTAATAATAAAAATATTCGTTGTTTTAAATCAAGTGAATTGTGATGATGAGAATGAAATACAGCCTGGTGAGATTGCCATATGGGGCATATCTGACCAACAACCCGAAGTGAGCGCAGACATCTTATACACATGTATAGCAAAGTTTGATTGTCAAGAGTTGGCCGCAAATAATGG